CCACAATGAACTCTGATGTCAATGTTGCCACACTCTGGACACACCAACATGGTATCCACTGTCTCTCCTGCTGTGTGATGCCTGGCACCCAGCCTACTCTACTCAGCCTATCTAGCCTATCTACGTTCTTGCAGCCAGATCACATCACTGTTGAAGACCAATGTACGTTGACGTCATCTCCAATGCCGACCGCCAGCATACACCAGGTACGTGCTCTCTCTCCTTCCCTCAACACCTCGTCTCCCCTCTTCTTCATACGCCTCCTAACCGAAGACCACCATCACCACCTCTGCGCACCCTCATGCTCGGCCCGGCTATGGCCACCATGCGCCCACTGCCACCGCAGTGCCCTCACCACTCCAGCCTGCCCGCATAGCGCAGCTTCGCAGAGCAATGCAGCAGCGTGGCCGCAATGCCTGCACAGGCCAGAATGCCCCAGCGCTGGGGCAGACACTTTCCTTTATGGAAAGTGTGCCCGTGTCTGGCTGGCCTGGCCAGGCGTGTGGGGGGCCCAGTAGCTTGCCTCTGGCCCCTAGTGTCTGCGCCCAGGCCCAGTTTCCGATACTGGCCTGGGCCCCGTGCACTTAGGCACGTTTGGGCAGCCACGCAGCTTCCAAGTGTTCCCAGCATTCCCATTGGCTCTTGACTCTTGTGTGATGGTAATGCTGCTTTCTCATTGGCCTGCGGCCAGTCCGTGATGTGTCGGCCTCAGACAGCGTGTGCCCACGGCGCAACCACCTAAGCCCTGGGCTCAACTGTACAGCGCAGCCCTTTCTTCAGGAAGGAGCCTGGAGGATCACGTTGCTCTGTAACCAACTGGCGTGCTGCAACTGTCTGGATCCCCACATATGGAAAAATGTTGAAAACAGGCCTCTCTTGGATATTCAGGCCCGCCTTCACTAGAGCAGGCACATGCTTGCTACGGGCCGCAGCCCACTAAGCACTTGTATGTCTGATAAGGGCCCCGCGAGGGCTCACTCCTCGCGCAAGAGATAAAGGGGGAGAAAAGACAAGAAAGAAGATCAGGCCATACCTTGTGGCACTCCCAGCCGCCTAGCAAGGGGGGGACTGTTACAGGGCTTCCCTTCCCCAGTCCGTGCCCTTCCTTAGGGGGTTGCCCTGCTGGTCGGGAGGCTTGCTAGCAGCAACCCACATACACCGTTTGTCGGGGAAGTTCCCCTCCCCCCCCCACACCCCCCCAAAGAAAAGAGCCAGGTTTGTCAAAGGTAGACTCTGGCAAGTTGACTGTTACCAATGCTGTTTCAGTTGGGAATGCTCCCCCCCCCCTTCTCCCCGGCCCCTTTCTAGTTAAAACTTAAAGGTGATGGTCCGATGGACCATAGAATGGGATCTGAAAAACTGATTAGAGCAGATACTACCCTTTACTACATAACACGAAATCAAGTTGGACTAAGAAAACAAAAAAAGAAAAAAAAAAA